AGAGAGGGGAGGCCGAGACGCCACAGCCCCTTCCGCTTGTGAAGACAGCGAGGAGGTGGTTGTCTGGGAACCAGGAAGCAGGTCCTCACCAGACACCGTGATCTGCTGGCACCTTGATCTTGGACGTCCAGTCTCCAGAATGGTGAAAAAGAAATTTCTGTTTTTTTTTTTTAAGATTCATTCATTCATTCATTTATTATTTATTTATTTATTTATACAAGCACCGGGTACAGTCAGTACTGCGGGAGGTTGAGAGGATTCACCAGAACCAGAGCGGGGAGCAGAACAGGCAGAAGGACCGAAGCACACTGCTGAGGGGAGCAGCGGGCGGCGGGAGAGGTCTGCGCACCATGTGGGACCCTCCCCAGTGGCCAGGGATCAATGGAACCGGCGCTGCAGAGGCTGCGGGCAGCTTTGCAGCCCAGCGCTCAACCGCTGTGCCACCGGGGAGACCCAAAATTTCTGTTTTTTAAGATACGCGTTCTGTGGTATTTTGTTATAACAGACTGAACAGACTAAGACATGGGACTGACCCACCGCCATGCTGTGGTAGTTCTTTAGAAGCATCCGCATAGGCTGAGCCTCACACATTTGTATGCACTTTTCCCAGAACAGGAGCATTATGAGGTCTGCTCCAGACTCTTCCAGCATTAACACACCCTCCTGGAAACCTCCCCACCTGCTCGAAGGGCTTCTCTTTCTCTGGAGTCTTGTAACCCTTTCTGCAGACCCCCCGATATCCTGAAATATTTCAGATTTAAGAAAAGTCAAAAGACTAGTAAAATGAACACCTTGTGCCTCCCATGGAGATTCACCAATTTTTTTTTTTTTTTGAGAGGAGCAGGAACTAGAAATATCCATTCAATAAATTTTCTAGTTTCTAAAATTATACAAATAGGTCTAATATGATTTGAATGAGTGAACACTCATTTATTAAAAAAATAAATTCTGTTGATATTTTATTTTCCCACGTGTACAGAACACTACATTTGAACTTTTCACTTGATTACTATTATAAGGGTGACGATACCTCTGGAGGCAAAATTTTTATTTATTTTTAAGTTCTTGTAGTGCATCTCGCAATTGATCAAATCATTGCTCTAACAAGTTAAGGAGACAATGGTGAAAATATTGAACCATAGAAGGAAGAAAAAGCCACCTTTCAGTAAAAGTGCATTGCGTTTATCCTAGCTGCTTCGCTGTTAAGATTCACCAATTCTTAACAGCGAAGCCTCTCTCCGGGCTCTCTCGCTGGCTCTCTTGCTCACTCTCGCTCTCTCCCTCTCCCCGCTTCCTTCTCTCCCTCTCCCCTTCCTTTGTCCTCTCTCCCACCCTCCCTATCCCTCCTTCTTGATCTTTTATTTCCTGATAATTTGAAAGTTGCAAAATCATAGCACCTCACCCATTAACATTATATATGCATCTCCTACAGAGTCATCCTCCAGAACCCCAGAACCATTGACACCCAAGAACAGGATCAATTCACTGTTAGCAAATGTATAAATTTCTTCTACTCTTCCCTCCCACCCCCATTTTTTCCATCCAGGATGTAATCAAGTTTCATGGTTGCATTTGGTTATATTCCTCTGATCTCATTTACCCTGAAATAGCACCCCCAGCCTTGATTGTTGTGGGAGCACCTCTGTTGTGTCCCACAGCTCTTCATTAGCTTCTGGTATTTACCACCCTAGGTTTTCACTTGAAATTACTCCTTGTGCCTTATTTTGAGTTCCTCTGAAAACACCCCAGGTGCAGGAGGTTATTGGGATGAAGAGGGGGCAGTGAGATGGGGAAGGAGGAAAAACTAACAACAGTTGCACTGAGGTCACTGCAGTGGGCACCGGGGGCTTGTCTCCTACAAAAGGCATCTTGCTGGGTTTGGCTTGGGGAAGAGCATTTGACTGCACAAAGCACCTTGGATATTGCAACTAAAAAGAAATATCTGTTTGGTCACTCAGAGGACTGAAATACATTTCTCGTACATATTTGATTGCGTTTCTGGCTCCCAACTTCCCCCAAACCTTGGAATGGCCTAAGTGTTGAGTGTCACAGGTGTGTCGTCTTATGTTAATGATGGTAACTTATGGAAAACACCTGAGGGTGGGGATGGCTCCAGGGGAACCAACCATGTGTGGAGAGGGCTGAACCTTCCAGTCTCATCCCCAGACTTCTGGGGTGTGGAGAGGCTGGAGGTTGACTTCTGTTGCCAATGGCCAGAAAGGCGGGGTTTCAGGAGATTCCAGGTTGGTGTACGTGTGGAGATCTGGGGAGAGCTGCCCCCCTGGAGAGGGCATGGAGGCTCATCCCATACTTCTACGCGCCTCTTCCCTCTGTTCCTGAATAATAGCCTTGGTAACAAGTCAGTGCTCCAGTGAGTAGACAGCTTTCCTGAGCTCTGTGAGCTGTTCTACAAGTTAATCAAACCTGAGGAGGACGTGGTGGGAACCTCTGATTTGGAACTGACTGGTCAGAAGCACTGGTGGCAGCCTGGACTTGCAGCTGGCATCTAAGTGAGGGCATACTCTGGAGGCTGAGCCCTTAAGTTGTGGAAACTGATGCTATCTCCAGGTAGGGCGTGTCAGAAGTGAGCTGAATTCTCAGATGCCATATTTGTGTCTGTGAACTGCTTATGGGTGTGGGGAAAGGTCCGTGCACTCACATTGGCATTGTATCCCAGGATCCCCGAATAACATCCCAGAGTGGATCTCTGGGTAAAGAGTGTGTGGAATGGCACTTGGAGGACTGCAGGATTCCCTAGCTCACTGTCAGCTGACCCATCGGGCTCTTGACTCCAGCAAGGTCTTAGCAGTGCTGTAGGCGGCAATACCTACTGTACTGAGGGCTCCCATTTCTCTGGTAACCTCTTTTACCTCCACATTCCCCTCCCCACCCCAGCCACCATGATGCCACTGTGTCTCAATCCCATCCATATCTCCCCGCCTTCTCTGGTCCATGATCTGGCCTGACTAGCTCTGACCTGTCAGTCCCTATGCCTTCTCTTCTTGCCCGGCCAAGAAGTCACATCCATTCAACCTCCACAGGCTTCCTGATCCCTAATTCCACCCTGCCTTGCTAGCCAAGCCGACCACTGCCCTGTTGCTTCTTGGCCCGTCTCCCTTTAGCTCACTGAATTCCACACTCTGGATTTGTACTTCTTGAGATGAGAGTGACATGACATGACCAGTCATTTAAAAAGTTCTGTCCTGTGACATTTAGTACATTCACAGTGTTGTGTCACCATCACCCGTACCTAGTACAAGACATTTTCACTGCCCTTATCCACTAATCTGTCATTCCTGTTACCTCTCCCCCACCCCTATTTGCCTGTCCTGGATATTTCATGCCCACAGGACCATACAGTATGTCACCTTTGGAGACAAACTCCTCTTAGTTGGCATGATGTTTTTGAGGTTCATCCATGATGTAGCATGTGTCAGGACTTCATTCCTTTTGTGGGGCTGAGCACTACTCCAACCAAGCTGGCTTTCTTCAATGCCAGGGCACCAGCTTTCCCCCTCCAGTCTTCTGCACAGGCTGCTCCATCTGGCTAAAACTCTCCTTCACCCACTTTTACCTGATAAACTCCTACACCTTCTATTTCTTTTTTGATTCTAAGTGTAGGGTAAGGAAAAATGTCAGGCTTTTCTGCCCTCCCACCATCAGGATAGATGATGGATCCTTGTGGTCCTGAATGCATGCCCGATGGCGGGCACCTGGAGTAGGGTGTGGGCATAGGTAGATGGGATTCACCTGGGCTAAGACTGGGCTTTTAAGAGCGGCGTCACGGGGACGCCAGCAGCAGCAGAAGCCAAGAGAGAAGCAGAGAAGGCCAGAGAGCCCAGATAGAGTGAAGACTTGCTGGGGGCTGGGAGGCACCCCTGCCTGCTGTGTACCGGGTAAATCCCTATAAAAGACCTGCAAAAACCACTGAGGACTCTGACTCCTCCTTTACCCGGTCTGCATGGGATCAGAAAACCTGCACTGTGGCCATTCCTGACCCTACACTAGGGATAAGCAAGGTCATTCTCTCAGATACCCTTAGAGACCGATCCTCCTTCCCAGCCCCTAAGTAAGCTTTGTTCTTTCTTGCTTTTTCTTCTCTCTCCTTTTCACTCCCCTCCACACTGTCTCTGTTTTTGTACCAGGTCTGTTTGCCCCAGTAGATTATAAACTTCACTCAGGCAGGGCCTGCACCCCTCTTGCTCGCCACTGTGCCCGAATAACTAATAGAGTACCTGGCCCTTGTTGGTGCTCAGACATCTTTTCTTGATTAAATGAATGTGTGAACAGTTTTATTAAACACCTGCTAGGGACAGAAAGATGTATGTACATCAGAATTTCCCAAAGTCAAGCACAATAGTGGCCAGAGTTGACATCCACTAGCTTTCTGGGTTGCTGCTATTAACTCTACATCTTCCTCAACCCCTCTGGGTTTAAGAGTCTATGCTGCTGTGGGCTTGTGTGGAAGCCAGAGAAAATAGCTTAGCCTGGTAATGGGAGCACTTCAGGCATCATTACTGCCCCAGTCTCTGGGCACCTGACTGAATGTGAGGCTGGAAAAGACTAGGAGCAGGTTTCCCAAGGGTTAGCATAGCAAATGTTGTATTCTTCTGTCCTCTTGTGGTCAGAACCAGGATAGCATGCATTGGTTTCCTTGGCCATTCCGATGCTATCCTGGAACTGACCGCCAGAGGACAGGCCTCTCAAACAGTCTCACCCCAAAACTTCATCCAACCCCAGCTTTTTTTTTTATACAAGGAGTCACATTTTATTGTATTCTTTATTTTTGTATTAATTTGTCCATCACTTACATATCTATATACCTTTGAGGTTACAGTTTCACTCTTCCCTACATGCAAGTGCTCCACCTGTTTTCTCCATTAAACCTCCCCTGACAATGCCCACTCCCCGTCCCTCTCCTCCCCCATCCCCTGTTTCCTCGGGTAGCCAGTAGAGTTTTCACTAAGTCTAGGAATTGTCCTTGTCGTGCTTTGCCAGTATATATATTTTTTAATTTCACTAATTTGTGTGTCGTCCTTGCTCAGGGACTGTGTTAATCTCATATCCTTCCACTTTTAATATATGTGCTGTCAATGCAAGCAGGAACCCCAGCTTTTTAAAAGTAGACTTTAAAAAACTGCTTTGCTAAGCATTTGTATACTGTACACGTCACCCATTCGAAGCATACCATTCAATAGATTTTAGTGTATTCACAGTCGTGTGACCATGCCCACAAGCTAATTTTAGAACATTTCCTCACTCCCAAAAGATATTCCCAGCTTTAAGTTACCCCTTTATATTATCCCTACCCCCAGCACTAGGCAGCTGTTAATCTGCTCTCTTTCTCTGTAGAGTTGTCTGTTCTGTAGGATGAGATCATACAGCATGCGACCGACATACTGATTTGTGGCTGGTTTCCGGCACTTATCATCATGTCTCCAAGGCCTGTCCATGTATCAGAACTTCATTCCTTTTTTTTTTTTATTGCAAAATCATTATTCTGTTGTATGGATAGACCACCTTTTATTTAATCGACTGATGAGTCGAATGGACATTCAATTTGCAACTGTGATGAATAATGCCTGTATGAACACTTGTGTACAGATTTTTATGTGGGACATATGTCTTCATTTCTCTTGGGGATATACATTTAGGAGTAGAAGTGCTTAACTAGATGTTGAACATTTTGAGGAAATGCCAGGCTTTTTCTATAGCATATTTTACATTCCTGCTCTCGTGCGTCAGGGTTTCCAGTTTCTCCATGTTTCCATACTAGTGACTGTGTTTTGAATTACAGCCATCTCTGCAGGTATGAAGGAGTCCAGTATATTCTTTTACAAAGCAGATATTTTGCAATACTTCCTTCTCATTTTCTTATCAAATGCAGATGAGCTGTTCTCAAGCTTTTTGGTCTTTGCAATTTAGAGCTATTGAGCACCCAGTTTTTCTTATTTCAGCCAGAGTTAACAATACTAAACCCATTACATGTAAACACAGACACCATATTTTATGAAAAATGACATCTCCAATACTAACAAAAAGATTTAGAAGAGTGGACTGCTTTGAAGAAAATCTGGTCTCATGCAGACCAGGCTAGGAAGGTGAGATAATTGTGGGTGCTGCTGTGATACTGCACTGGACTTGGCAAGTGGTGGTTCCTTCAAGTTAGTTGCGATGTGTAATCCCAAACCACATCAATGAACATTTCATGCTCTCTTACCTTAAAATGCTTGAACTTTAATTGGCTCTTTGACACCCAGCACGGTGTCCAAGGTGGCACACGTTGGCCTCCTCTCTCCAGGCCCCTGAATGCACTGTGTTCCCTCTGTCTTCAGGAAGTACTCCCTGGTCCTCTAATTCTGAGTTAAGTGTCCTGGCAGCTTCATACTCCTCATTAGAGCATTTGCTTTTCTCTGTCTCTGTCTGTGGGTCTCTCCCAGCTGAGCTGTGGATCACAGCGGGCAGGACAGTGCTAGTTCTTGAATCCCTGCAGGCCTAACTCAGGGCCCGCCTCTGTGGTTAACAATCCTCAGGGCTGCTGGGTGAGGTCAAGGAATGGAGTTGACTGGAAGGTGTAGGTGTCCTGATGGAACTGTGGAGAAGTTATTTTATGGAGGCACCAGGGAGAGATGAGCTGTGAGAGAAGGCAGGGGAGCCTAGAGAACGAGGCTACACAGGACTGGGAGGCTGCAGGAGCTCAGGACCGTGACTACAAGCCTCTCTCAGCCCAGCTTTCCCATGCCTGGCTCCTGGCCAGGGTGAAGAAGGAAGAGCAGCATGAAAATGCCCCTGAAGGAAGCAGGTTCCCTGGGGTGGAGACTGGGAGTTTGGGTGCAGAGGAGGAGCCGCAGTGAAGGGAAGAAAGGGCTGCAGAAGCAGGGGTGCTGCAGGAGGGAAGGGAGAGGGCTGAAGGGAGGGAGGCAGGATTCCGGGCTGGGCCCTACAGACTCTGGAACCATGGGCCTAGACCACTGGCCTGAGAAAGGCATCCTCCAAGCGAGGACAGAGCAAGAAACCATCACAGATGAGGTGCAACCGCCTGAAATGCCTAAGGGGCCGGGGCTAATGGGGACCCTCAAATCGTCGGCTGGGCCGCTGCACAGGAGACACTTCTGGGGGCTTTTAGTCAGCGGAATCTCAGGAGTCTCCACGTCCTTCTGTAAGAGGGAAAGGACAGCAACCCATTTCATATCGGCGCTGCCCTGTAACACTTCCTCTACTCTGCTCCCCATGACCACCACCACTTGAGCTCATTTCTTTCACCTCAAAGGCCCACGGGACTCTGGGGGGCCTGGGTGGATGTGGACTCAGCTGAGAGACACAAACCCTGCAGGAAAGTGGCCCAAATGCTCTGTGTGAGCTCCTCATCTTAAACATCGCCAAATAATTCAAATTATTTTGAAAAACCAAACCTAATGGCTTCGGGACTGGTCAGGCCTGACACATCCTTCAGAGAACAGATTAAACAGCCACGTGTCTGGAGCCTGAGTTCCAGACTGACTTCCTCATTAATTTGGAAAGCCCCTCAGTGTTCACACCATTTGTTCCTATGTCCTCACAGCTGCTTTCCAATAGGGGGCCCAGGGGAAAGGGGTTGACAAGGGAGGAAGGTGCTAGGGACGGGGGAGAGTAGGCCTGGGGGCCGGGAGTAAGCTGGGATGGGAATGCAAAGCTGCTTCCTTCAAATGGAAGGGGACAGGCCTCATTATTACTATTTATGTCATTATCAAATTCCTGAGCTTCTCCTATGCCTTCATTTTAGAGCTGAGGGTTAGGGCATTGAAGGGGAGACAGAGTCAGCAGGTTGGTGGCAGGGCCCGCAGGGGTGAGAGACAGGGATGGGGTGGAATTCCCGTCCCCAGGCTCCTTCCTCTTGGGTAGAAGAAGTCAGGGATAGGCCATTTTGTTCTGGCAGAGCCCTGTACCCCTGCTTGACAGGAGACTGAGGGAAAGGGAAGGAGAGCCTAACTCCAAGGTTTCACGGACTGAGGTAGCGTGGCTCCCAGGAGAGAGATTTCCTAATGAGCGGAGAGTCAGGTGACTTCTTGAAGGAGGTGACTCCAAAGGAAAGAAACTACATGGTGTGTGTGTGAGAGAGAGAAAGAGAGAGACAGACAGACAGACAGAGACTGACAGACACAGAGAAACACAGAGAGATGGGAGAGGCGGCGAGGGAGTGAGAGGGCTCTTAACATTGATCAATAAACATTCTGGAAAGTGGTGAGGTGAAAAGTGAGTTTCCAGCCAACTCCCTTTCTAGACTCTCACATCCATCACCAAGGGGATCACTCTGCCCTTCCCCACGGCCCTGCAGGACCTGTCTGAGCCTCTATGGCTGCAGGTGCAGGGGCATCTGTCTACTTTCCCGCCCTGGTCCTCCCACCCACACCCACAGATCCTCTCCCCAACAGGTCAGCAGACACCCTAAGGGGCCTCCCCTTTGCTGGACATGCGCCATTTTCACCCCTGCCTCTCTGCATGTGGATGCCTCTGACCCTGAAATCACTCAACACTCGCTTTCTGATCCTCTTTCACTTCTCTTTCTCTGGAAACTTAAAGTTTCATCCACTAGAGTTGCATAAAATTGCATTTCGTAAGCGGATTCCTGGGTCAGGGGGTCTTGCGTAAGTGGGATTTCGCTGGAGGGAACTGGGCCCCTGGAGCTGGAGGAGCTTCCCTGAGAGCCCCCACACCTGCCTGTATCCCTCACCCTTGACCTTTCAAGCCTTTCATTACTGCTTACTGGAAACGGGGTGGTGATTGGGAAGCAGCTTGGGAGGTGGTAGGTAAAGTTCCTTGTCCTGGAGGACATTCAACTTGATGTAATTAGTTAAGCCATACATTGAAATTCTGGGATGTTCTCTGTGCTTTATTTTACAATCAAAATATTTTTTAAACATTCAATCCATTAGTTGTAAAAGTGAAATTTCCAACTAGTTTTATTATTTTCTTCTTTCACTTATATCTTTTCCCAATTTTCCTTTTCCTTTTATCTCCCTTTCCCTTTCTCTTTTTCTCTTTCCTTTCTCTCTCTGTCTAGCTGTCTTAATTATTTCCTGAGCACCCACCTTGTGGCAGGCAATGTTTCTAGCACCAGCGCGCCATTGGTTTATAGACATAATCCCTGCTTCCTTGGAGCTTGTAAAGGAATGTTGACAAACAGGAAAATAAATGCATAACTACAAATTGTGATAAGGATTCTGAAGTATTGGTGCATATCAGACTTTTGCCAGCATGCGCAAATATGCATAATATTGGCATATCACACGCATGTAGGCTGCTTGGAAACAAAGTATTTACAATAAGTGCTGTTCAGTGACTTGTCTTTCTCCCTTAAAAATGTAAGGTGCAAAATGCTCCTAATTGGCATATACCTTATTTTTGATGATTGCATGCTGTTCCACCTTATAGTTGTGGAGTTGCTGTATGAAAGACTGCACATATTCTTGGAGCCCTCATGGTCCTGGGAACAGTGGTGGGGATGCTTGTGGAGGGGACTGAGTAGGTTTGTAGCTCTGCCTGTTTTTGCCAGAGCAGCTCTGCTTTGATTTGTGCTCTCAATCCTGGTTGTATGCAAGACTCACCTGATAACTTTCTAAAGCATTAACTCAGGATCTGTGCAAGCCTGGGAATGAGCATTTGGTGTGTGTGTGTGTGTGTGTGTGTGTGTGTGTGTTTTCAGAATTCCTTATAGTTCTCTAAAGTTCAGCAAGAATTGAAAAGCACTGTACTATTATGTAAGTGGGTGGAGGAGGGTGGTGTCCAATTTAGATGTTGAAAATCACTGATCTCAAAGCAGGAAGGGGAGTCTGAGAGAACCCTGAGTGGGGTTCTCCATGAGCCCTCATGGCAGGTGAGGAGCAAAGCTGGGCGAGAGCCAGAACTCTTGCACCCATCCCAGGGCTCTGACCATCAGACCACGTCTTTTTGCAAATTTGCCTTTGGAATTAATGATCGCTGGGTAGACGGATATACTTTCCTTTTTTCCCCCCTAATTGCTGTTCCCCTTATTAAGGCAGTACAGCTCTAGTAAGAATCAAAAGTACAGAAATAAGCAATTCACAAAAGCTGAAATCCAAATACATGAAACAAGGTTAAAGAGA